TGAGCAAACACTGCTTAGCTGAACATCATAGGGCTATCCTGATAGGATCTAATGTTGTCTTCTTACGTTGAAACTACAGAGGAACCTATATTAGATTTCACTGTGATTATATGCAGGGAAATGAAATGTTCCTTTCCCTAATCAAATTGTATCTATGAGTATAAATTCATCCTGATTATTTTAAACAAAAGAATCAGACCCTACAAATTCAATACAATTATAAGATATTAAATGCATTTCTTTACATCTTGAATGACTAACTGAACAGAGACAGATAATTCTTGGATGTTATAACAGAGGGTTGAAAGCCTCAGCTGGCAACAATTGGCCTGTCAAGTTCCTCAGCAGTTATCACAGTTTGCACTGGTTGCAGATTATCAGGCTCAAGGGGTATGGCAGGTTTGAGGGAATCTCAGCATGATTTTCACATCTTATTACTGGTGGCAGTGGGCTGTGCAAAGGCAAACAGTACTACAGCTAGTGCAGGTGGAGCAGGACTCAGATTCCACTAGCGGAGCATCTAGAAAGGTTGAAAAGAACCCCAGGGCCTCCAGAGTTAACATGAATAGTTCATCAGGAGAAGAAGGATAAGCCCCACCTGGCTAAGCAATGATGTGCCAGGTCCCACCAAAAGTCTTCAGAAAAGACTTCGCTGTCTGCCTTTGGCTTCCCTCAGTTTCTGCACAGGGTTCCACAGCCATGATGGAGGGTTTTAAATTTTCCTTCCCTTTTCCTGAGTAACAGCTTTGCTCTGGGAGATTAATTTTTCTCTCCTTGATTCAGTTGGAACAGAGGGAAAACACATTGGATATTTTAAACGTAATCCCATTTTTTTAGCAGAATAACTAGAAATAGGATTAGACTGTTAAGTGCAATCATAAAAACATGTCGAAAAACGTAATCCAGTCACCATTTTAGAATCTGACTCTTTTTAAGCACATTCAGATTTCAAATGTCAGTACTTTCTGGCAAAGTAATCCATTTTTAAGTGAGGTAATCATAATCCATTTATTCTAGGTCAGTAATATTTTTTTTAACATAATCTAATTATGACCCTGGAAATTCATTGTTTTTAAAGCAATCTTAAAACTGTAATCCTGGAAAAGATTCTTGGGCTTTGGTGCTGGTCTGTGTTGGGTTTTAAATGGGTATGGTGAGATTTTCCTCTGAGCCCTGTTCTAGTGGTTTGAATTGCTCATTACAGCAGGGAAGGTCTCACACAGGAGATTTCCTGTCTGGTGCAGTGTCGTGGTTTAAACCCAGTCAGGTAATTCGTTCGCTCACTTCCCCCCCTTTCTTGCCCTCCCCCTGCTCTCGGAGGGACGGAGAGGAGAATCGAAAAGAACGCAACTCCCACGGGTTGAGATAAGAACAGTTTAGTAACTAAGGTATAACACAAATCACTACTGCTACCACCAGTGATAATAATGATAAAGGAAATAACAAGGGAAGAGAATACAACACCTCACCACCAGCTGACCGATAACTCGCCCCCCAAGCCCGACCAAGCTCCGACCGATACCTCCTCCAACCCTGCAGACTCCCAGCCCTTCCGGCTAACTCCCAGTTACATCCTGGGCATGATGTGCTGTGGTATGGAATACCTCTTTGGTCAGTTTGGATCAGGTGTCCTGTCTCTGCTTCCTCCTGGCTTCCCCTCCTCCCTGGCAGAGCATGAGGCTCACAAAGTCCTTGGCCAAACCAAAACATCGCTATCAGTTCTGTTCCCGAGCTGAAAGTCAAAACACTGCACTGCACCAGCTACCAAGAAGGAGAAACATGACTGCTACTGCTGAACCCAGGACATGCAGTCACAGACTTCTTAGTCTATACACTGGGTCTTTCAGACTCACCAACATGTTAGTGCAGTTTTGTAATCATAGATCCAACTAGATTGAAAAAGACCTTTAGGATCATCAAGTCCAATCATTACCCCAGCACTGCCAAGTCCATCACTAAATCATGTCAAAACCTGAACTTGACCAGGAAAATAAAAGAAGAAACAAACAGGTGAATCAAAACATTTCTGTTGGGGGTGTGTGCCGGAGTGTCCAGTGAGCTCTGCCTCACTGGCCAGGGTTTCCAGCAAGCAAATAAAGCCTCTTAGTAGCCCCCTTTCCCAAGTTGTGCTCAAATTCAGTGGGGTGAGATTGTCCCGCACAAGTGGTTTGAAGAATTGCTGAGTGACCCAAGTGATGAACTCTGCTTCTTTTAAAAGTCACTCTTTATTGAGCAATGGGTATGCTGCCAGCCTGCTTCGTCCTCAGAAGAGCTTGTAGCTTTTAAAATCACAGGCTTGCCACAGAAAAGGAACACAGCTTGGAATTAAGCTGGAAGTTCTGTCAAACTGCTGAGTATTGTTATTTCTTTACAGACAAGTTGGAGTTTGTGCAACAACTGCCAAAGATGGTCTCTGGGAAAATACAAAGGAAGAATCTAAGAAAGGAAGACTGGGGAAGAGCTGAGTTTTGCTGCTGAGCTGCTGGCCAGAATGTGCTGAACATGACTGCTTTTCTGCTTTCTGGCATCCTGTTCCCTAACAGTCTTAAGAGGTGCTGGAGAACCTTCTGAGTAAGAGTAGAAGATACCAGGTTTTGGTCTTGTGCTTTTGGGTATTTCTAAAGCAATATTTTCCCTATAATTTACAATGTATGTGGGAGAAGCTGGTTTGAAAATAATGATAAACGAGGGGAAATCAGACTTGCCTTCAGCTTTTGCTTTTATGTTTGTATGTGCATCGTTTCACTGAAAGCCACAAAGTGTGCAAGTCAAATCCTATTTTGTGAGAATGGTTTTTAATAATTGTTCATAATCAGACTTCACACTTTAGACAGTGCTGGGTCACAGATAGTTTCAGGTTTAAATATAATCAAGGATTTCCTGGACTAAGTAGTCAGTTCAGGCTGTGAGAAATTTCCATAACAGCCAAGCAGAGTTACGTGGCTGTGGCTGCAGCAGAGGTTTAGATCATCCCTGTTAGGTCACATCTCACATTTCTTGTGACCCCTCTGTAGCATTTGCACCTCACACAGTGCTGCTACAGCACAGGCTGTGTACTCTTTATTCTTGCTTCAGAAGATGTAAGTAGTAGTTGAACTCTATGACCAACGCTGTATTTACTAGAAGCACAAAAACACCAGTGCACAAAACCACCAAGCCCAGGGTTGTTTATCTCCCAATTTCCTTGTTCTGCTGTAAAGCCACTATGCAGTACCCATGAACCCATCTGCTGTTGTACCAAGAGCCTGGGAAAATAGCAAATGCGCTGTGTAGTAAAGCTGTTGATGACCTTTGAGGACAGCTAATTGAGTTATTAACTGGCTAACAAAGACAAGTCCCAGGAGGGGCTGTGCCAGGAGGGTTCTGCAGGTGGATCTCACCTCTTTCTTACTCTTAAGCTCTGAAATGGATATTGCTTTGCTTTCCACTTAGAAAGCACGAAATTGCCTGAAGTCAAAACCAAAGAGAAAGCAAACGCACAAAATGCTATGTCTGTGTAGATTACATCAATCTAAATGTATCTGAGCTTGCACTACTCAGGGGATAGATGAAAATTTATTTCTTTAGGAGCAGAATTAGACCTCAGATGAAAAATAAACCTTACTCTCTGGAGTATTTGCATGCTGTGAGTGTTAAATGTTTTAGGGAAATTATGAAAGTGACTGAAAGGAGGTGGTTTGGGATATTTTATTAACCAGTCCTTTGGAGATTCATTCCACAGAAAGTCTTCAGACTGTCCAAAATGTTGTACTTGAAGTAACAGACATGCAGAGAGGAACTGTATCATCTGCCTTGAATGGTTCTCTACTACATTTGCATCAACAGCTGCTCTAAATTCTACTTCCTGGGAGCAGGTAGTTAATTTGGTGAGCAAATGAGAAACTTCTCTGGATTTCATTGCAACTACCATAAAAATCATGGGTCAACTGTTTTTTTTTCCATGTGTGCTAGTGGAAGACTGCTGCAGTACATTCACTGTTTGGGGGCTGTCACCCTTTTTGTTTGTTCTAGGATTTTGTGGACAAGTTGGGCTGACCCATCCATGTGTGTATGGTCCATCATTATTGCACCGAATACTGGTTTATGACATTTACAAACAGTAGCAGCTGTGTTGTGTGTCTCCAAATGTATTTACATGGTGAAGGCAGCACGAGGGATGTCACTGGAGTTGTTGCTGTAAACCCCTGAGTGCTCATAGAAATTTACCCTGGGAAAAAGGCCAAATCTGTCTGCCCTGAAAATTTGTGAGCAAACTCAATCATTGGTTTCAGTCTCTCCACGCTGGGTTGAAGACGGGCTTAATGCCCTCTCATGTATGTACATTAGAAACACAGTGTGTTTGGAGTGGCTCTTCATGTGTGTATTGCACAGCTCAAAAGCCACTTAACAACCACAATAAAATGAGGAATGGGAGGAGTAATTTCAACATGGGGAGAGCAGATGGAAAATTCTGTGCTCTGTTACAGAGGCCTGAAGTTCCTCAAACCCTGACCCAAACATAGGTGCTCCTGAAGTGTATATTCAAATAACTGAGCACTGCACTGTGGCTTTTCTGCAGGTTTCACTGGGAATTTCATGTGGTTGCCACTGCCCTGTCCATTTTAATTTCTCTGAATACGTGAGCTACCAGGCAGCATAAGACATAGTTATCTTTGCTCCTAGTCTTGACTGAAAAATAGTAAGAGGAGAAGCAGAACCAGTTAAATAGCAGTCAGATCAGAAAAATGGGGTAATTCTCTTTTCAGATCACCTTAACATCAGTAAACACTGTCACTTGAGGCAGTCTGCTGCATGCCCTTTTTAAAGTGTTAAGATGAGAGACAGGTAGCCTGCAATTACTTTAGCTTTGGGTATCTGCATTTTCAGAATATCATATGTGATTTACCAAGCTGGGGAGGGTCATCTCCTAACACTACAGCAGTAGGTTGGGGGAGCTGGCTCCAAGTCTACAAGACACAGGAGACAGGGAGAGAGGTTGTATGTGACTTGTGCAAAGACACTGATGCCAAATTGGATAGTTTACTTCTAAGTAATTTCAGAGCTTACATTCAGTTTGCAAAAGTGGCTTGAAAGCTATCCAATATCCCTAACACACAGCAATTCAATGGTTTTCTTGGAAGACTGGGCATGCATTGATGCCTGCGGGGATTCTGCATGTGGTCTCCAGCAGCCTGGTTCTGCCTCTTCGTAGTCCCTTATTTCCATGGCTGTTCTTTGTGCTTGTTGTTTCTAGCAGCATCTCTGTTCCCTGACTCTGATCCTTAATTATACCCTGTACTGCCTCTATATAGAATCATAGAATAATTTAGTTTGGAAAAGACCTTTAAGATCATCAAGTCCAACAATAAGCCCAACTCTGCCAAAGTCCACCACTAAACCATGTCCCTAAGTGCTATGTCTACACATCTTTTAAATACCTATATTTATACACAGCCTGTATATATCATATAGTCTAATGTGTATGCTTATGTATAGCTTTTATTTATCTACGTCTTAGTTTAAAAATATTTTTCCCCTTGCAGAGCTTATTGCTTGTGGTAGCAATACTAACAGACATTACTGTGACTGCAGGAGAATTCACCTAGTCCAAGTTTGCCAAGCTCACCATAATTGAATACCTGGAGATCCTGTGTCATGTCTTTCAGAGCATGGATTTTGTGTCTCAGCCCTTTGTCTCCCTTTTCATAGCAATTACTATGGAGTTTTCATTGTCCTCAGAGCTGATGTCAGAACTGCATGTATTTTGTGCACAGAAGTATCCGATCGTGGATATTATAGGTGATATTTATTGGCAACAGGCTTCTGAAAATCTTCATATCTTTATCACACCAATTCTCATACTATGTTTAACTCCAGAATCTGAGAATAAAGCCCCATTGTTGCTATTTTCAAAGTCATTGGTGCCATAAAATAGTTATACAGTATAGTTATACAGTAATGTATGGTAGATTATCCATTCTCCAAAGGCAGTGAACCAGAAACACAATCATTCATACTCAGCACTCTTTCTATCTTCTCTCAGTTTTTTCAGTGATTGTGCCTTTCTCCAGAAGGAGATTGGAGAAATGAATTCTGTGCTCTCAGGGGAAATAATCCCCACCACGGAATCTGATGTGTGATCCTAATGAAGGGCCACAGCTGCTCAAAGAACTAGAGAGAAGCCAGAAGGCAGTACTCACCAATTAAGTACTAGGCAAGATACATGAGGAGGAGTTGAAAGAAGTCTCTCCTGATCACAAATAACACCTCCAGGTAAGCCCAACCTATTTAAACACCCCGAGAAATTAGTTTTTATTTAATAGTTGTTCAGATGTCTTCTCAAATGAAAGATGCCATCTACTAATGTAAAAAAATATAACTCTACAGTGCTGTGTTTTATTCCTCTTTCTTCGCATGATTCTCACTTTTATGAAAGAAGGTGGACTACTTTCCTGGTTTGTCCCAAGCAGACTGAAGAAGTAGCTTCTTTCTGCAAGAACATCTTCTAGGTCTGAGTCTGCAATCACTGGCTCAGATCTAAGGGAAAAATAAACCAGCTGCCGTTTCCACAAAGATGTCACTGATTAACCGTGAGTTCTGGAATCTGGCTTTTTTAATGACCTCTTAGGGATAGAGATAAGAAATAATGTGTTATAAGCAAACTATGTGAAAAAAGAAAAACCCTCTTTTATTAGTCTCTGAAGCTGATGTATCCTGAGCACCATGTTCCCACACATATGGCCGTAATTCACTCTTTTGCAAAGTGTTTTCGAGGTAATGCAAAACTACAAACGGTATTTTGTAAAACCAAATGCAACTCTGTATATTTAAGGACAAATGCAAATGTGGCAAAAGCATTAGTCTGGTAAGCAAATCAATAATAGAATGTGGAAAGCCACCTCAGAGTTATTCATAAGACTTTGCTATCCAATTAATAAAAGGCAAATGCCAGTGGTGGGAGGGAACACAGTTTTTTCTGTGAACAGTAAAGAAGGCAGAGGAAATGGTACAATGTAGAATGCTCAGCTTAGCCACTACTTTGGTTGGAAAGAGTAGGAATTGTCAGCTCCAGGGGGAATTCTCTGAGACACCTGTGGGCAGATGGAAAAGTAGGAGACTTAAAAGTGGTACCAGAGCTCTAGCTTACCCATAAGGAGAGGTGGGATAAAATGTCATACAGATATGGACTTGCTGCTCTCATTTGGAGCCAACAGCCCATCTGGGAATATGCACACCGTAATACTATTATTGATTTTTCAGCCTCTTGTAGGAGGGAAATAATCATTAAAAAAACGGTTCTGATGGTTATTGTATCCAAAAGCCCCCATACATCTGCTTTTGTACCACAAAGATTTTACTTGTATTTCAAGTGTTGCAGTCCTCATGGAGCACCCACATACTCCGCAGATTATTCCACCAGTATCACAAGACTTTTGCACCTTTGAATTTCTCATATTATGAAGCTGTCAGTCGTTGTGAACAGGAAGTACCAGAGTACTTTAATTTTGCAAGTGATGTGCTGGACAAGTGGTCTCAAATCGAAAAGGTAACGTTTCTGACCCTGTAGATTCAGTATTTTTAGTAAAACTGTGCCCCTATCCCCAAAATCAAGCCTAAAACCATCACTGGCTTCAGTGGGACCAGAATTTCCTCCCCTATTTCTATTTTAGCATAATATTGACATTGCAGAGAAAGGAGAGGCAATTTGCTTGGCATCAGAAGGGACATGGTGCTTTGTCTCTGTGACTCTGATTCAGCAGTGTGTGTAGTGCTGGGGTTGTAAAAGCCTCTAAGTAAGTTATGAACATTGCAAATCAGGTAGATATACTCACCAACTTATAGTTGCCTTGAAAAAGGTCTCTTTTAAACCACATGTGTAATATCCCTGCCCTAGAATATGTCACACTATCAGATTCCACTTCCTGGACCATCCCAAAAGCTCTGCATGGAACTGCAGGTGTATCAGAAATAACCAACATGCTCTGTACGCTTGTGTATAGGAACGGAAAGGACCATCAAATCCAGCTCTATGGTGGATAAATGGAAAAGGAGATGAAATTAAATGGAGCTTTGAGGAGCTGGGCTTCCTGTCCCAAAAAGTGGCCAACGTGCTCTCTGGGCCATGCAGTCTGGAAAGAGGAGACCGAGTTTTAGTGATTCTCCCCCGAATCCCAGAGTGGTGGCTGCTGAGCGTGGCTTGTATGCGAACAGGTGAATTGTATCATTGCTAATGGTCTGTAGATTGGTTGTTACCTTCTATGCCGAAAGTTGGTTAGCAGTTCATTTAACAATTACTTTCTTATTTGACTGTGTAGCAAACATTTGACAATCAAAGAGGCTGACAGTGTAGTCTCTTATGACTGATGGAATTACCCTCATCATTTTGCTTTGCTTTCTGTGGCTTGCGTTGATTGTGTTAAATCGATTTGGTTGTGTTAAATCAATTTAACTTCAATAGAGTTAAGTTAAAGCTGCTAGTGTTTACTGCCCCAAAGTTATGCTTTCTACTTACATTGTGCCTGGAGCAAAGGATCTCATAAAAGCAAAAGCTATATTGTACTGCAGATCGGCACATCTGTATTCAAGTCCATGTGTGTGGCACTTGTTTATCTTCTTCTCATTTCTGGACTGAATGGTGCTGATTTTCAGCAATTCAGGAAAAGCTATGAAGTTATCAGGACTGAAAGTGACAAATACCTAATAAATTCCCAATCTTATTGCACTTTCAGGTGTTATCATCATCCCAGGGACCACACAACTGACAGCACAAGACATCTGCTATAGACTGCTGGCTTCCAAGGCTAAGTGCATTATTACAACTGATGTGCTTGCTCCTGTGGTGGACTCAGTTGCATCCAAATCTCAGTTTCTGAAAACAAAGGTAATTGTATCTGAAAGCAGAAGGGCTGAGTGGCTGAACTTCAGTGATTTGCTCAAGTAAGTGCCTTCTACCGTTAACTCCATCATTGTTACCTCTAGTGGAACATTTCTCATGTTGTTTAAATACACTTGTGCACTTGTGTCTAGATATGAGATAGATACCTTTGAGGGGGTGTGAGAGAAGGCAATTATGTCTCTTTTCTACAGAGCATTTGGAAATAGCCAAATTAAAAAATAAGTACAGTCTTACAATGACTAGTTTTTTTTATATATGACTATGAAATAATACAGAATAATGAACAGGAAAGCCTCTCTTATTGACAACTGTGGCCCGTTTACCCTGTAAAGCTCAAAGAAAAATATTCTATACCAATTATTCCAATCCATGTTCCTAAAACTCTACTATAATAAGGTTAGTAGGAATAGCTTTTCAGTGTGAAAGGCTAAAAAAGGGCACTGCAAAAATAACCTAATGTGTTTAGGAAACAACCTGCCTCATGGCTGAAAAGTAGCTACTAAAACAGCACCCAACAGACAGCTCTTCACTGCAGTGCATGGGACTGTAGAAAGGGTGGAAAGGCAGAGTGGAGAAGGAAAGCAAGTACCCTGCTAAAATCAATGTAGCTAAAACCATTATTTCAAGGTGGGATCCAAGCTCTTCAGTCACTTTAAGAGCTTCATAAGATGTACCATATGTTCTCACAACTACGGATGTCTGAACTAGTATTACATGTGCAGCTCACTGTACAGCCTGACTGTATTTGCATCTGTTCTTTTGAACAATGGCCCATTTCAGTGTCACTAAACTGAAAGACAGGGAAAGCACTAAGACTGCATTCTCAAACTTCCTAGAGCTACTAAAACATTGTCAAGTCTATTTGATGAATCCTCTTTCATGCTGGGCTAATATTCCATGTCTCAGTTCCACAGCAGAGAGTAAAATTGATTTTGATAAAACCTAAATATTGTCTGGAGCTGCATCAGTCCTGCAGAGGCTGTGCCTGGCGGTCAGGCAGGTAGGCTGGCTGGTTTCCCAGGATGGCTGCCTTGTGAAGTGCTGGCTGTCTGGCTCCAGGGTTAATCAGCTGTCAGGCTCACAGTGTTTCTAGAGTGCTGGGCTACTGTCCCGCCTGACTCGCTATCTTGCCAGATCACTGGCAGCCTCCCTACCTACTGGGATACTTGCCCAGTCTGCCCAGCTCCTCATGTCCTTGGCTGCCTTAGCCAACTGCTAAACCAGCCAGGAGGCTGTGAGGCTCTGGAGCGAGGGCTCCTGGACAGCAGGTCTGCCTGGCAGCCAGCACAGGGAGATGGCTGGCCTGGGCAGACTGACTTCCTATGCCCAACCTTGCAGGCATGGACAGTGTCTGCATGCCAAGTAAAAGCTTTTTGAACATCAGTCCTGACAGAGGAAGGGTTTTGCTTTCTCATCCTAGAAAGTGATGAGAAATATTTCCCTGTCACATGCCAAACGACTGAGAGTTTGAGCCTCTTCATACTTCCCAAACATGGCAGGGACAATTAACTAGTGGGACCATGTACCCAAAGAAATGGTGGGTCCTCCCTCAGCTTATCACATTAAGGATGGCAGATACGCTTTCTGGAGGGTGCTTGGGTCAAACACAAGGTGCTGGGCCCTTTTGGTGGCTGTTAAGGGAGGCAAATAAAGGTCAGCCAGTTGGTGTTTTTACTGTGGAGAAGGTGGACATGGAGAATAAAGACCAACATCAACAATGCCTTAATACAGAACTAGCAGTGCAAGAGTGAGGGAATCTCAGTAGTTTCTTATCACTCACATCTCACTATACAAAGTCCTGCATATATTGGGTACAGAGGATTGAACCTGAGTGTGCTGAATAATGCCAGCCACTGTTTCAATAACCTGTTTTTTCTTCTAAGGGCTGCCTCTGCTATCCATAACTGTGTGAAGACAAAAACCCAGGATCCCATGGCAATCTATTTTACCAGTGGTACTACAGGTTCACCCAAAATGGTTGAACATTCCTATGGAAGCTTTGGTCTGGGTTTTTTTCTCTTAGGAAGGTAAAGTATTCAGCTAATTATGTCTTTACAGCTCTGGAATGTGAAGCAAACAGAGAGATTTTGTGTGTGATAGAATTACGATAGATGATGAGGTGCCAGCAATACCGTAC